AGACGAGGCATGGCATACACCACATGCTGTATTATATACCGACTAATAAATTACAGTACGTTTAGCAAACACTGAGGAATCAAATAAAATAAAAGAGAGCCTCCATAGCGTAACGTGAGGTAAACAGCAAAGATGATAAGCTTTTCAAAATGAAAACAAAAAGAAAAGTAAAACTAAACTTGCTGTCGGTGACAGTGCTTGCATGTTTTTGTCCCACAAGAATACCAACATGTTCACCTTTGGTTTAAGAAGCGGTCTTTTACTTTACTTTAGCATGAAACCCATCCATCGTTTCCTCAATATTCGCGTAATTTTTCCTGACGTGGCGAGTATAAACCAGGCTCTACACTCGAAGAGCTGCGCAGCTCAAATGAGTCGCGCGGTTTCGTTATGCTTTCAGTTTCGTTTGCCGTTTGATGTTTCTCACATGCAACAGAAAAGCTGTGCTTATGAGTTAAACAATGCGGTGGTCGCGTCAGTGCGACCGCACACAAAATTTAGTCGCACCGGCAGAAAACATTATCGCAAAATGCGCCCATTTGGTCGCACACTGGAGCCCTGTGCAGTACAGTATTTATTTATCCTTAGTTGTTCAAATCGCGGTAATCGAATACGGTTATAGTGATAATTAAAATATGAAATGGTAATACTAACCATGGGGTATTTTATCACGATTTATCTTCAAACCGGTAATCGTTACATCCCTACTTCCAATATTATTTCTGTATTCATAATGTCATCCAATGTTGTATCAATTGTTGAAGTTAAGTGTTTATACTTGCAAAAAAAAAAATATTTAAAAATAAATCCCGCCTACGGAAATTTGAATGGTTGGGGGGTTGGGAGGGGCGAGGTCATGGTTAGAACGCTTGGTTGAGTGCATCAGACAAGACGACGACGAAGTGCTGCTGTAGCGTCAAGTTTTCACAAGTTATTACACATGCACCTGTGAATTTACACTTCAATTATGAGACTACAGTGTTTCCCTTACATTGATTTATTTGTGGCTCCTGCCACAATATCAAAACTGACCATCACAAACAGATTTTCCAAAAGGCTTTGACTTTGTTGAATAAACATGAGCACTGCACGTTTCAAAATCGAAACCCGGTGCGGGTGTTTTTATATCACTGAATTTACCGACATATCGACTGTCTTCAGAAAATTTTGGATGTCATTTTCATTTCTTCTTGCATGTAATGTCTGATAAAGCAGTGTTTGTGAGCGGAGCGCTGCTTTGTGTACAGCCGTTACCAGGGAAACCTCGATCTCTACCACTCCAACAGCGCCTCCTGCTGGCAGAGAATGAATTTGCATATATATGCCGCCACAAATAGAGTGTAAGTCTGTGGGAAACACTGGACTATGGTATAAATTAGAGGTTGACCGATTAATCAGCAACGATAGTTGATTGCTGGAACTATCGGTTATCGGCAAAAATCCATGCATTAATCGGTATCGGCCAGTGTGGTCCAACCTAGCTATCGGTATCGGCAAAATCCACTATCGGTCGACCTCTAGTATAAATAAATTCAACTGTATAACAGTTTCACTGCAATTCATGTTATAATGTTAGAATTAAAGAACAATAAACATAATACATGTTACCGTTGCACTTATCTGTACATAGTAAATGCAGTTATTTTTAAACGGTTGTTTACATCCTATCTAAAACGTGATTTAGCAAAAAACAAAACAATAACGTTACCACCATAGATATGTATATCTATGCTTACCACTCTAAAATGTCTTGCAATATCCGTGCGTTCAAAGTTTCTGCACGATCCTTTTGTTCAATATTCTCGCAGTCTGAATCCGGCTCAAATTGATATGGCAATATTGACGCCATCCTTAACTATACCGGAGCAGACGGAACTTGCTGCTTTGGCAAGGGGCGGGGCGGGGCAGTACTGAAACACCGTCTTAAGATGTTCGCCAAACACAACGCACTGGGACAGCTAACCAATCACAACACATTTCGTTTTTCGGAAGGTGGGCCTTCATCAAACCCGGAACTAATCGAGCCGTTTGTGCCAGGCTGGGGAGAAATGTATTGTAATAATATAAATTATGTGAAAAATAATGTGCTTTTCGAACCACCAAGCATGAGAGCATGTTCTAGTACACCCCCAAAACAAAATCAAGACTTTGTAAAAGAGCATAATAGGACCCCTTTAAGTGAACAGGATACTGCATCTTAGTTGTTTGGAATTGGTGTTAGCACCATGTTAGAATCTAGCCTAGGGCTGGGCGCTATAGCTAAAAAATGTATCAACGATATAATGTTTGGTATCGATAATTATTGACATTTTTTATAACCTTTTTTTAAAACACAGCAATAGAATTTTTTTTTTTATTTAACCACTGTATTTTTTTGTTTTAACAGTCTAACACACAATAGAAATTAAACAAATATCTAATTTCTAATGTTTTAAATGCAGATTAAATAGGTTTTAAGGAAACTTTTGGCTTGTCTCCCGAGGCCACAGGAGGGCGCAATGAGCAAAATAATGCAGCGCATTTAAATTGTCAACGCAAGGATGTAACTCTAAAAAAACGTGCATTACGTCTAAATTAACTCATATAAATCGAATATAATTTCGTAAATTGCATAAACAATTATAAACAAAACCGTATCATGTATTTATATATTGCTTAATACAAAGAGCCAAATTGCCCATCACGCAGATTGCATTTAAAAACATGAGAGACACAGTGAAAAGGAATAAACCTCCACAAATTCGCGACGTGTTTTCTAAAAGTTTAAACTGTTTTAACTTTTCATGGCTACATCTCTTGTGTGAGACACGAGTGCAGCAGTCATATTTGTCCGTCTAAAAAAATGCGCTGCTGAATATGCGTTCTATGTGAATGGCTTGGTTTCGGTTTTAACCTAATCAAGATCTTCTACGCATTGAGCTTCTATATTTCTCTAATATTTTGAATGCATAACACAGCAGCGGCGCATCTCGTGGGCAAGACTAACAAAACATTAAAATGCAACAACGTCACTTACAACATTATCACCGCATCTTGTGCGCCACTAATGACGCTCCCTGACCCACTCCTAACATTCAAATGCAAATGTTTATTTTAAATTCGACTAATATTAATTTTTTTATTCACAATCTCCTCATCACAGGCAGGCACAGCACTCAATTCAGCATGGGGTCGTATGCTATCTGCGTCACTCATAGCACGTGCCTATATCCTGCACTATATCGAACATTTTTTATATCGTTATCGAAGAAGGTGTACCGTCGATAAATATTGATACTGTTTTATCGCCCAGGCCTAATCTAGCCTATGTGTTTTCTTCTCTTTTCCCCATCAAAAGGATAGGGTTTAGAAATATTCTGGCTGGACTTGATTGTTTCATGGTTTTATATGCATACCACCTTAGTGTCCAGTGTCCTTGAGTGCAGGTATATGTTTCAGTGTGAAAGAGAGAAAAAAGAAAGAAGAACAGAGTGTGAGGGATGCCCATTTTACCTGATCTCTGTTTCTCTCTTCTGGCCTGGAGGTTTGTAATGCTGTGAAATATTTATGGGATAAACTTTGTCCTACAGGCAATTCTCTTTTTCCTTCCAGAATCTCTGGATTCTAAGAACTCATCTTTCTGGTGGGATTAGCACCATGGATTGCTCAGCCTGAAGGAAGGCACGAGGGATTTCATTTAATCTGTATTTTGGTTTAGGTTTGAATTAATCTTAGTTTATCTGCATGTGTTAACTATTTCTTCCTGTGCTTAGTTGAATTGTTTTTTGCTTTTTCCCTTGACGGGAAAAAAGTTTATTGCCTTGTAATATTTTGTTCTGACGTAACATTTGAGCAGACCTTAAAGGCAAAAGTCGTAGATGCATGTCCAGAATTAACCTTTTGTCATATCTGTCAAAGATGAGTGAATTAAGAAAATTTCCTGACCATAAATATGTAATTGATTTGTATTTTGCATTGTTTGATTAATATAATTAATTTAAAAAAATAAGTAGTCACAGCCTAATCTAATATCAGGTGAGCCAGTCTCCGTCTCTCTCTAAAATTTTTCTGGTGACAAATGCGCTAAGACACATCGTGGTTTTTTCTTCCTAATATTTTCCTTCTGGTGGCTTAATGCTTGTAAAATATCATATGTATTGCTACATAGAGTTAGATTTAAAAAGATAAAATACTCTTGCTGAATTTAGTAGTTTTAGCTGTACATCTTAGAAAATTTGAATCAGATGCATCACTTATATTAGTGAGGGCCAGAATGTCATTCATTATATATCATATACCGATTTAAATAATAAATTATGTCAGTTCCTCATAAAGTTACTGACCAGCTGGCAAAAAAACAATTTATTCAGCAAAGCTATTTGTTATTTCCATTTGGCACTTGGCACTTCTTAATTTTGGCCCATGTTCTGATGTTATTGTGGTAAATGTTCAGAATTCTAAATGCATGCAGATTGCAGGACAGCTAATGGGCCCAATCTGTGCCGCACCAGGTTAGACTAACCTCATCTGCTTACAGTTTGTTACTGCTTACATTTCTACCACTGGTACTATTTTAAATCTGCATTCAGCAATGTTTGAAGGTGTGGTTTCTAAAGTGTTTGTCACAATTGTATTTGATTGAATGTTATGTTTTGAAACACTTTACCAGTATAAAAACCTCAATAGCGGATGTGATCAAAGTCCTGTCCTCCACCTTTCCTTGGTAACATTTTTTGAGACCTCTAATAAAGCTTGTTTGTCGTCATCTCACTTTTCTTCTTCTCTGATTTCCAGGGCAGCTGTTGAGTTTCCAGCTGTGACCATGAGCACCATCTCACCGACTGATTTTGATAGTGTTGAGATCCAGCAGCAGTACAATGACATCAACAACCGCTGGGACATCGCAGCTGAAACAGAGTGGGATAATGAGAACAGTTCTGCACGTCTGTTTGAGCGTTCACGCATTAAAGCTCTTGCAGGTCAGTTTAATTTTTTTATTCTAGTGTGTGCGAGTCGAGGTTTGGTTTGTGCACCAGTGTGCTTCCTGTTTGTGTTGATCTGTGTGTGTTTGTTTGCATGCTTGCTTTATCAGCTAGTTTTCAACAGGTTGCTTGTATGATTGTGTCCAATAGGGGGTGGCATAAGGCAGAGTGTGAAAACAAAAAATCACTTGAACCACCTTAAGACAAGCACCCTCCACATGCTCTTGCAGTGGTCTTGGAGAACTGTATGCGTGATAATATAGTTATAATAATAAAGAGGCGTCAAGTATGGTTTCAGTATGGAACCTGGTTTTACATTATTTAAAAGACATTCTATTTATAGATGTCAGTGCATAACACAGCAGTTGTTAAAGTGTGGTGAGATACCATCTTCTGACAAGCAGTGACTTGATATCCACATTTTTCCAGTGCTGTTCACCTTGTGACACTCTCTCACTCTCTCTCATCTCCAGGGCTTTTCTAATGTTAAATTTATGACCCGCTGTATCTCTTTTTTTGTTTCTCTTTCTGCTGCCATTGGGTGTTTTAAAGCCAGTTGTTGTCATGTTTTTTCACACGGTTTGTTAGGCATATCATAATTTGAAGCACATGATGAATCAATTTATGCTTTTAAAAGTTGCGTTTAAAACAGCAGATTTGAATGTCACTGGGTACTGGAGAAATCAAGATTCACCAAATGTCTGCATGCAACAATAAATCAAAATGACAAAATTAGGGATGCTCCGATCGATCAGCCGGAGATCGGTATCGGCCGATAATCACATTTTATGACTCGATCGTTACTCACTAACTTGGCCGATCTCACGAACCGATCACAATTTGATGACGTCAACGTGTGACGACGTACATGATGCGTGGGACATAAATGATTTGGCGCCACAGTAGGGGTGTGCGATATATATCGTCTGTGATAATATCGTAATTGTTGTTTTAACGATGTGCGATTTGACATTATCGAGTATTTTGCAAAAACCATTCAAAACATCCCTACAGAGCGCACGCATACATTACGTGAAGTCTAGACTAGTGCGTGTGCGCATTTAGTGTGTTTTCTTTCACTGCATGATTCAGTCTATTAAAATGCATTTAGAATGGTCACAAATTCAAGACATGATGGCAGAAAATGTATATATTTATACCACTTCATACAGTTATTCAATTTCACACGAAGAGTGCCGTTTTTAATCAAGAGTGCATGATTATAAATGTGACATTGAATTCAATAAACAATAAGTTAATTAAGAGACTTACGTTTTAGACACCATATTGCTTGTTTTTGCTCTATTTCGCCAACAAAAATCATTCAGAATACAGCCACAGCGCTGTTTTGTGTATCTGAGCAACATGACGGTGTTTCGTTCCTGAATGAATCAACCGTTTAAATGATTCGGTTCA